AAAGAAAACAGTACGTATTAGTCCTAGAGAGAGAGAGAGAGAAAGAGAGAGAGGAGAGAGAGGAGAGAGAGAGAGAGAGAGAGAGAGAGAGAGAGAGAGAGAGAGAGAGAGAGAGAGAGAGAGAGAGAGAGAGAGAGAGAGAGAGAGAGAGAGAGAGAGAGAGAGAGAAGGAGAGAGAGAGAGAGAGAGAAGAGAAGAGAAAGAGAAAGAGAGAGAGAGAGAGAGAAATTTCTTAACGATACAATATGAGAAAAAGAGAAAGTATGTGTGCGTGTGTGCCATTACAGAAGCGTGGAACGACTGTACATGTGAGATATTGTACGTACCCCCCCCCCTATTAATCTTTTTATTTTTATTTTTATTTCTTATCTATTTTTTTTACCCAAGTTAATTTACTTTGATGGGACTGCTGAAAAGAGTTACGAGGAGAAAGCAACAGGACATTTCTTTCGCAATTTATTTTTACTTTTTAATTCGTTGTGTTGTTTGCGTGTGAGGATCACCTTTCGTTATCGGTGTACAATATCAGTGGCTAGATATAATAGCACATCTGTTTTATATACATATATATATATATATATATATATATATATATATATATGTGTGTGTGTGTGTGTGTGTGTGTGTGTGTGTGTGTGTGTGTGTGTGTGTGTGTGTGTGTGTGTGTGTGTGTGTGTGTGTGTGTATGTGTGTGTGTAGGTATATAAATTTATGTATATATACATGTACATATGTACACACACACACACACACACACACATACACACACACATACACACACATACACACATATATAGATAGATAAATACTGTATATATCTATGCATACTTAACTGACAGCGTTCCACCTTTCATCTCTACCTGAGTTTACTAATATCAAAAATTCACCTGTTCTTTGGATCCACCCGAGACCCAAGGCGACCTGACCTTTCCCTCGCTGACCCCGGGCCCTGAGAAACCACAGGTGACCCTTTTCCTGTAGCGAGAATGGCCAGTTTGAGGTTCTTTCCGATATTGGATTTTCCCCCCAAACGCTTTCCATTTCCTTTTCGAAGCGCTTCGGAACTTGTTCGGACTGGTCGAGCGGTTTCGAACACTTTTTTTTCTTTTCAATCTTGTCTCGGGCTTCGTCTTGGTTCATTTCAAGGGGATGGGAGTGGATTGTACCTTATTCTCTGTATGTGATTTATTTATTTTTGCTGCGATATTCGTAATTCATGTGAGTTGGTATAACCCACGCACACGCGACCGCCCACACATGCACGCACACACGTACGTACACACACACACACACACACACACACACACACACGTATATTTATGTGTGTATTAATATCTTCATATTGTTGGTATCATCATTAATATCATCATAGATATTGAGTTACCTATAATATAATAAATTATTTATACCAATCTGTATGATAACTAATAATTCTGTTTATTTTCCTTACATTACTTTACTGATATAAAAAAAACACGATTGGGTTGGTATTGAGGTCAACTGCTCCCAATCAATGTCCTCCTTTTAGCATCTATTTTTTTTCTTTGCACCTATTTATAATTCGCTTTATTAGGTTCGTTTGCCGCAAGACCGAAAGGAACGACGCAAAAAAAAAAAAAAAAAAAAAAAAAAAAAAAAAAAGTCTATTAAGAGATAATGGACAGTACTATTTCTATCACAATGAGGGAGTCAAGAGGAGTTATATTTTTTTTATTTTTTTCCTTTGACCCCATTCTTCGTCTAATGAAGAACAAACCTTGTAAAAATAGATAACAAAACAGTGTGTTTGCGTGCAGTGTATATATATATCTGTGTGTGTGTGTGTGTGTGTGTGTGTACATATATACATATATATCTCTCTCTCTCTCTACACACACACACACACACACACACACACACACACACACACACACACACACACACACACACACACACACACAACATATATATATATATATTATATATATATATGTGCACACATATATGCACACCACATATTATGCATGTATATATATGTATATATACATACATACATACATATATATATAATAATTGTGTTGTGTTGTGTGTGTGTGTGTGTGTGTGTGTGTGTGTGTGTGGTGTGTGTGTGTGTGCCTGTGTGTGTAATATAGTATATATGATTCGACAGATGTATAAAGTAAATGAAATGCAAATAATCTGTATCTATCAGCGACATGTGTCTACATACATTCCGTACATATATGCATCTAACCATATCCTTCTCCACTTGTCTCTATACAAAGTATGAACCCGCACGTATCTTACCAGAATGTAATTCACAGCGCGCCATAAACATCTTTTTTAACCCAGCACCCTCTCCTCTCTTGGCCCCGCGCGCCCAGCCCCCGCACTCTCTCCGCCTCATACATTTTGGCCCAGCGACCTCTCCCACCTTTCGCTTCAGCCCCCAGCACTCGGTCCGCATCAACACGTCAATATTTCTTGCTCGCGCTCTCTATTATCAAGCCTCACCCCGTTATATACATCCCGCCGGACGCGTCTCATCACGGACCAAAACAAGGGGGAAAATGCAGAGAGACCGCGAGGCCAAAGCAACTTATGAAGTAACAGATTAACAATTAAGTAACTTATCAAGATGGCCGAGGCGGAAGGAGAGGGCAGTGGAGTCAATATTCCATTCGGATATTCATTTAGTGTATCTTACGAGGATCTCCATGAATAAAAGATGGATTTTCCTCTTGTGTACGCGATGGCATCAGCTCTGGGCTCTGGCGAGGAGCTTCTATAAAATATGTATGGATTTTTTTTTTTTTTTTTTTTTTACATGAAGACCCGCTATGCGTCTTTGTTACGTGAGCGTGTTTACATTTGTGCGTACACGTGTGCGTTTGGGGGGATGTAGTCTTACGTGGATATCGTTTGTAATTCCTCTCGTAATACACTTATCTTATTTGCTCTCCTCTGTGGTTTAAAATTCTACAAAACACCAATAGTGGTGATGATTTTGTTGGTAATGCAACAGTGATAATAATGATGATACTATTGATAATGACAACTATCATAGTAATATTAAGAAGCAACCATGACAATAGAAGCAACAATAATAGCAATAATAATAATAATAATAAAAACAATATTTTGATAACAACAAGCACTACATAACAAAAGGTTAACAAGAACAAGAGCAGCTATAACACCAGCAAACTATCAATAAAGGAGGTACAAGCATTGCCAAAATGATACCAATAACACCAGCATCATGGTGCTAACAACATCAATATAATTATACTAGCAACACTAGCATAACTGTACTAGCAACACCAACATTAGAAATAGTAGCAACATCAACATGATAATACCAGTAAAACCAACATGATAAAAATAACACCAGCACTCGAAACAGTAGCACCACTTAACTTAATAATGATAGTAACAACACTAACACGATACCAGCAACACCAACATAAGAAGCACTATCATCTCCAACATAATACCAGCCCCACCAACATAACGCTAACAACTCCAACATAGAAATGCTGGCAACATCAACAACAATAAAACAACAACAACAAAAAAGAAATCTGAGCAACAGTAAAACCATAACAACAACAACAAAAATAAATCTGAACCGTCATTCGAGAACAAAATATATTCATAGAGGACAGAGGCTTATTTTCAAATCCCCGACACAGGTTACTCTGCCTGAATAAAACATGATTATACAAGATTGCCTAATTACATTTTGACTGAATTATTACGATCCGACAAAGGTCATTGTTACTTTCATTCGGGTCATGTTATCAGATTTCATTTTTGTTAAGGGTTGTGGGTTGTTTCCGTTCGTGTTTATTGTTTAATTGGTGGGTTTCTGAGCTTGTTGGGTTGTTCACCTGTTAGGTTCTGAGCTTGTTAGTTGTTCACCTGTTAGCTGAGCTTGTTAGGTTAGGTGAGCTTGGGTTGTTCTGTTCGCTTAGCATTGGATTGTTAGCTAGTTAGGTTGTTAGCTTGTTGGGTTGTTAGCTCGTCAGGTTGTTAACTTGTTAGGTTGTTAACTTTTTAGGCTGTTAGCTTGTTGGTTTGTTAGCTCGTTAGGTAGTTAGCTAGTTAGGTTGTATGAGCTTGTTGGGTTTGTTAGCTTGTTGAATTGTTTGCATGTTAGGTTGTTGGCTTGTTAGGCTGTTAGCTTCATGGCTTGTTAGCTTGTTAAGTTGCTAGCTTTTTAGCTCGTTAGGCTTGTTAGGTGTGTTAGATTGTTAGTTTGTTAGGGTGTTAGGTGTTAGGTGTTAGGGTGTTAGATTGTTAGGTGTTAGACAGTTTGGTTGTTAGCGGGAATTATGGATGAAAACATGAGAAAACGTTTTGAAAATTCATAGGTTTGCCATGGCCTCGCGAATCCCTGGCTTAGGTTTTGTGGGTTGAACGGATTCGCTTGTGGATTTAGAACCCAATCATAGGATTCGTGGCCGGTGAGATTCGTGAGATAGAACGAGTCTGCTTCGGATTTTTCTCTGTTAATTACTCACATAAGACAACTCATTAATTCCTCATTAAATTTGATATGATTGAATGAGTGAATATTTGCATGATATTGAATTCAAGGATTAATTTTAACGAGGACGAGAAATTATTACATGTAGATGAGTCGTTATGAAAAAATGATAAATATATGAATATTCATGTGAGAAAAGATGGATATGATAATGATATAGATTTAGAGAGATGTTTTAAAACCCCAGAAGTGAAAAAAAATAACCAAAGAAAGAAAAAGTTACGAGAGAAAAAGAGAATAATGATAAAGATTTTTAATGAAATTCCCAGACGTAAAGAAAGAAAAACTAATAAACAAACAAAACAAAAAAAAAAATAAAATAAAATTCCAGTGTTTTTGTTATTACTTTTTTGTGTGGATTTATACTCTTTGAGATTTTAATCCCCTGAACTCCTGACTGAGCTTGACCTTTGACCTTACCGTTATCGAAGGCATCCAGGTCGTTTGGGGTTAAGGAGAAGCACGCCAT